ACAAAACCTAATGATGTCATTTGGGAAACATGACAGTGCTGTGGTTAGCCATGTGGATGGAATTAATAGTATCAGAACTGAATCGTTTTTTTTCCTTCCAGAAAGCTGTTTTGGTGTTATTAATTTAAAGTTACAATTGTAATTTTCTTTTCTCTTTAAAATTTGTATTTTTTTATATCGAATATATCATTTAGGCTGGTAGAATAGTCATTCATTCATTTTCCTTCAGCTTAGTCCCTTTCCTGCAGGCACAGGACGTCAACATGACGTCATGTTGACGTTGTACCCCAACGTACCCCACTGTCGTGGGGACATTGGATTTAGTTTGAAAATAAAAATTGGGTTGACGTCAGAACTCAATGTCAGGCCCACGTCAATGTTCAACTTCCAACCTAAAATCAACCAAATATCAACGTCTAATCATGTTACATCTTGACGTTGTGTGGACGTTACCACTATGACATCTATCAGATGTTGGATTTTAGTCACTTTTCAACACAACCTAAAATCTACCAAGTATTAACGTCTAATCATGTTACACCTTGACGTTGTGTGGACGTTACCACTATGACATCTATCAGATGTTGGATTTTAGTCACTTTCCAACACAACCTAAAATCAACCAAATATCAACGGAATTTGATGTCATTATTGGACATCAAAATAAAGTTGTCCTTAGACGCTGGCTAGGCATTGAGTTTTGGTCACCTGACGTCATGACCTAAATCTAACCTAATATTAATGTCTTATGATGTGTGCCTGCGGGGTTTATTCATCAGGGGACACCACAGCGGAATGAACCGGCAACTTATCCAGCATATGTTTTACACAGTGGATGCCCTTTCAGCTGCATCCCAGGACAGGGAAAAACATCCATAAACACTCATTCACACACATACACTACGACCAGTTTAGTTTGTTCAATTCACCTACAGCTCATGTCTTTAGACTGTGGGGGAAACTGGAACCAGTGATCTTCTTGATGTGAGCCAATAAATTAATACACTAAAATGAACCTTAATATAAGTTGTCACAGTGGCGCAGTGAGTAGCACGATCGCCTCACAGCAAGAAGGTCACTTGTTTTTTGCCTCGGGTGGGTCAGTTGACATTTCTGTATAGAGTTTGCATGTTCTTCCCGTGTTCGCATGAGTTTCCTTCGGGTGCTCCAGTTTCCCCCACAGTCCAACATATGCTGGATAAGTTGGCTGTTCATTCCGCTAATAAATAAAGGTACTAAGCTGAAAAGTAAATGAATGAATGAATGCATTAATGAATGAATGAATAAATAATTCTAAATCTTGAAAAGTTATGGTGTTTTTATCAATGAATAATTGAAGAAAAAAAAAACATTTATTTGAAATAAAATTGACATTATAAATGTGTAAAACTATTATTTAAGGAGTTTAATGTCACTTTTGATCATTTAGATGTATCATTGCTAAACAAACAATTTTATTATCTTTTGCATGGAAACATATGGCAATATCCACAAACAAAAAAATACTATGCAGCGATAACTATTATAACCTTGCCACAGCACATTTGTACTAATGATGACAACTTTCTGTAGACTCATTCTGAAAATGTAGCCCTGTATACATTTCTGGAGATCATGAATTGTGTAGCCAGAAGTACGTATGGCTGCATTTCATCTTTAAAACGAATGCTTCGGGGCGGTTTGATGCCATTCCTTTTCACGCTTACCAGCTGATTGCTTACCTCCATGTGGATGACTTTTCTGCTGTTACCAGTTTGTCTGGTAGCTCGACATGTACGTCGACGGACTTGAGACATTATTTACTTTTCATTCATAACCGAGTAAATAACAGGGTGAGAATGTGGTCATATCAGAAAATGTGGTACAAAATCAGGTGGCTTTTTTTTCTGGATTGCTTTTTAAAACACTGCGTTTGGGCTTAGGAAAGTGGGTGGGCGCTGGTCAATCGGTGCTTTTTAAAACACTATCGGTTGGGTTTAGGGGTCAGTCAGTAAATCATTCCGTCGCGATCGGCCTGTGGTGGATTTACACGGGAACAGCAGGCGCAAGTGGCAATCACGAGAGAGATTTGACGTCCTGGGACATATTTTGCTCTCTTTAGAAATGTATATTGGGTACTTAATCAGAATGAGCCTGAGTTGAATGGTAAGCAAGGGGAAAGGTTATTTAAGTAAATCTGAATGTGTTTTTCCAACAGGTGTTACTGTTTAACAGATCTCAGTAGTTACTGTAAGTTATCCATTAGACAGCAATCAAATGCCCTTGAGTGAAGGGCCACCCTGCAGGATTTTACAGTACATGAACTGTGTACAGTATAAAAGGCCAGGATTGGGCCTTCCTCTCTGTAAAAAAAAAAAAAAAACATACAAGTTTCTTCATGACTGTTTTCATTTATGTAAAAACAAGGTGTGTGCTACATTCTCTTTCAATGTGTGTGTGTAGTGCTTTTCTTGAAGAGTGTGTAGGTAGAAAGTGGGATAAATTTAGAGTGTGCTGGCCACAGAATCAGCTCTGGTTTTAATTTGGGCTTGGTTTGGAACACTCAGCCAGACTGAGTGTAGAGGATACACTGTGTGTGTGTGTGTGTGTGTGTGTGTGTGTGTGTGTGTGTGTGTGTGTGTGTGTGTGTGTGCGTGCGTGCGTGCGTGCGTGCGTGCGTGCGTGCGTGCGTGCGTGTGTGTGTGTGTGCAAACATACATAAAATACACGATCAGATGGAAGAATGGCGAAAGTATGGAAAAGTAAAGAGATCAGCATAACAAAGATCAGAATAATCAATGCCATCATTTTCCCAATCTCCATGTATGCATGTGAGAGCTGGATACTCAAGAAAAAAAGACAGAAGGAAGATCGATGCTTTCGAATTGTGAGGCGAATGATGCACATCCCATGGACGGCGAGGATCACAAACAAAACGATCCTGGAGCGTGTCAAACAAAATATACCACTAGAGGGCAAAATCACCAAGCAGCGGCTCTCGTTCTTTTCAATATCATGCGAGCCAACTTCATGGAAACAGCTTTAATGCTCGGTGCAGTGAGTGGATCGAGAAGAAAAGAGCGTCAGAGAACACGATGGCTGGACACAAGCAAGACTGACACGAACTTGAACATGGAACAACTGAAAGAAGCAGTCAGAAATAGGAAAGCGTGGCAAATCACGATCTATAAAGTAAATCTTCACAAAAAAATATGAAACTGCAGTTCTGTTTTCAGCATTGATGATGTGAGAAATGTTTTTTGGGCATCAGATCATCATATTAAAATGATTTAAGACCATGTGATACTGAAGATTGGCATAAGCAGGGGGTGCTCAATATTAATATATATATTTTATATATATATATATATATATATATATAAGTCCTAATGCCCCAGTAAAAAGTGAAGGGGACACTATACTGTCAGTGAGCACCGTCTTTCGGATGAGACGTTAAACCGAGGTCCTGATGCTCTGTGGTCATTAAAAAGTCCCATGGCACTTCTCGTAAAGAGTAGGGGTGTAACCTAAAGTCCCTCAATCAGCCTTTACGATCATGGCCTCCCAATCATTCCCATCCACCGAATTGGCTGTCTCTTCACTCCACCAATAGCTGCTGTGTGGTAAGCGCATTGGCACCGTTGTCCTGTGGCTGTCCTGGATGCTGCACACTGGTTATTTTACATTTGAATATGTACCTTAAATATATACATCATACATTATAATACATTAAATTAAATTTTGTGTATTTAAAAAAATTACATTTTAACTAAATCTCGGATTGAGATCTGGTGACTGTGGAAGCCATTTGAGTGCAGTGAACTTATTGTCATGATCAAGAAACCAGTCTGAGATGATTCGCGCTTAATGACGTGGCGTGTTATCCTGCTGGAAGTAGCCATCAGAAGATGGGTACACTGTTGTCATAAGTGAAGTTTATTCATAAACTAATTTCCAGAGGATCACATGCTTATGATTTATTACGGCCGGTCCCGTATTTGCTAATCACTATCTTCCAATCAAATAAGCCCTAAGCTACTATAAATAACTACAGTTTTCAGTTCATTTTATCTTCGTTTGGAAGAAACAAAGGCTCCCCTCTCGCTCTGCCAACAGGAGGAAGCCCCGGGCTCGAGGATCCCTTGAGCTTAGGGCTCTGTCCCGGGACAGCATGCCAAACAAGCTTTTATAAATCATCAGCTAAGTGTGAACTCTTGAAATGGGTGGACATGCAGCATCAATACTCAAGTAGGCTGTGGCGTTGACATGATGCTCAATTGGTACTAATAAGCTCAAAGTGTGCAGAGAAAATATCGCTTACACCATTACACCACCACCACCAGCCTGAACCGTTGATACAAGGCAGGATGGATCCATGCTTTCATGGTGTTGATGAATGTCCCAGCAGAAATTGAGACTCATCAAACCACGCAACGCTTTTCCAATCTTCTATTGTCCTATTCTGGTGAGCCTGTTCGATTTGTAGCCTCAGTTTCGCGTTCTTAGCTGAAAGGAGTGGCACCCGGTGTGGTCTTTTGCTGCTGTAGCCCATCTGCCTCAAGGTTTGATGTGTTGTGCATTCAGAGATGCTCTTCTACACACCTCGGTTGTAACAACTGGTTATTTGAGTTACAGTTGCCTTTGATCAGCTCGAGTTAAATACATATAATGCATCTATTCAAATTTAAAGTCATTGGTCTTAGAGGATTGAAACTACACAAAGGCAAGTAATTAATAATCGAGTTTTCATTTTTTGGTGAGCTAACCCTTAAAAAACTGTAATCTGATTATCTTTCAGTTAATTGTTGATGGTTAGGAGAATGTTTAGGGAAGTTTGTAAGCTTAGAAGTCTAGAGAAAAACCTTTTTTTTGTCTGGAGGAGCACCAGAAACCCTCATAATCTTGGCAGTACACATATCAGCTGAGGGTTGAGAGACTGCTAATAAACCTGAGCACCGTTAGGACAGAAATACACACGCATCATCGTCCAGTCGCTGATTCATCTCATATTGTCTCCTCAGGGTCGCTGGTTCTGGAGAGTGCGGAGGAACAGAGTGCTGGATAATTACCCCATGCCTATCGGACACTTCTGGAGGGGTCTGCCAGGAGACATCGACGCCGCATATGAGAGGCATGATGGGCGATTTGTGTTTTTCAAAGGTATTCCCCCTTTCTGACTGCACTTGAAAACTGATATAGCTCAGTGCTGCTAAAAGTTAATATAGACCATAAAAATGTTATATCCGCGAGAGGAATTATTACCCAGGCTGGCAGCGTTACATCACGTTGAAGTGCTTTTTACATTAGAACAAGCCATCTATTTCCACGTTTGTCATTTAGTACAGGAAGCGTCCTTGATTTCCCTCAGCCGCTAATGTGCTAGTCTGATGGATTTTACAGGTAGGGTTTCAATGACATGGCTTTTTTGGGTTTATATATGGATTTAAGGTGAATGGAGCATTTAATTTGAAGCTGTATAGTTCTGAAGATTGACTATAAATTTTGAGAAGAAGCAAATCCCAGTAAATACCTAAACTGTTATAAATAGGTTCTTATTTCGAAGACATGATTAGATTCTGCTTACGAAAACATGTAAATAACCTAATGGCTGCAAATATAATTAAAATAATATGACGTAAGCCATTCTACTTACACTCACCGGCCACTTCATTTGCACATCCATGATGCAAATCTCCCATTCCACCACATCCCCAAAGTGCTCAATTGGATTGAGTTCTGGTGACTTTGGAGGCCATTTAAGTACAGTGAACTCATTGTCATGTTCAAGAAACCAGTATGAGATGATTTGTGCTTTATGACATGGGCGTTATCCTGCTGGAAGTAGCCTTCAGAAGATGGGTACACTGTTGTCATAAAGGGATGGACATGGTCAGCAACAATACTCAGGTAGGCTGTGGCATTGACATGATGCTCGATTGGTAATAATGGGTCCAAAGTGTGCCAAGAAAATATTCCCCACACCATTACACCACCACCATTAGCCTGAATCATTGATATAAGGTGGGATGGATCCATGCTTTCTTGTTGTTGACTGCAAATTCTGGCCCTACCATAAGAAAGTCCCAGCAGAAACTGAGACTCATCAGACCAGGCAACGTATATCCAATCTTCTATTGTCCAATTTTGGTGAGCCTGTGTGAATTGTAGCTTCAGTTTCCTGTTCTTAGCTGACAAGAGTGGCACCCGGTGTGGTCTTCTGCTGCTGTAGCCCATCTGCCTCAAGGTTTGATGTGTTGTGCATTCAGAGATGCTATTCGGCGTACCTCGATTGTGGTTGTTTGAGTTACTGTTGCCTTTCTATCAGCTGGAACCAGTCTGGCCATTCTCCTCTGACCTCCCTGCCGCTCACTGAATATTTTTTCTTTTTCAGACCATTCTCTGTAAACCCCAGAGATGGTTCTGCTCGAAAATCCAGTAGTTCAGCAGTTTGTGAAATACTTAAACCAGCCCGTCTGGCATCAACAACCATGCCATGTTCAAAGTTACTTTAAAGCTCAAAAGACTATGATCTATCCACATGGTTAATCAGCTATAGATCCCATAAGAGCAGCGGCCGGAAAATAACAAGAATTATTTATATTACTTATTAAATTTTGCATTAAATGTATTAGATTAACATCTACCCCTACCCCAACCCTAAACCCAACCGTCAAAGTAATATAAAAACAAATCTACATCTAGAGTCTTCTCTATTAGTATAACTGATTAACCATGTGGATGGATCATTACAGCTTTCTGAGCCAACCAGTATGGGCAGAAGGCCCTTACTGGCCCATGTCTATCAGCTGATAACCACTGACAAAGCTTATTCAATAGAGTGATAACATTCAAAGCAGGTGGTAAAGCTTACCAAATAATAATAATAATAATAATAATAATAATAATAATAAATGCACGACAAGGAAGCAGAAGACAATCACACCAAAACTTTAAACCTACACAAAAGTATATAAGGAAGCTAAATCCCCTTTGAATTGGACAACTGTTGGCACGGTAAGCTTTAAATTAGATAAAAACCCTGTTGTGTGTTGACACATGACAACTAAGCTGAATAAGTTATGGGTTCATGCGGTTTTCTTTACTCCACTGCCGCTATAGAAACGCCATCCTGTTTTCATTTTTCTGATTGGTCCAAGCCAGTCACGTGATTCACTTATAGCAATCTTACTGGAGAATCTCAAAAACTTGCAGATGACTAGTCTAAGGGATCCTTATTCACTTTTGCTGACCATTCTTCAATCAAACTAAAAGTAGCATAATTGCTCTAAAAGTTACCCCATGTATCATCACTTTAACACATTCATCAATTTGACAACAAATATGTAGGCAAATTCTCACAAAACATGCTAACACAGACACAGAAATGGGTCAAGGGACCCCCAAAAGTGACAAACCTTGCTGTTTCCTGTTTACAGTCTGTAGTGTTGTCAGCAACCTGCAACAAGAAACCGTACGACCAGGAACTTAAAATTTAAAAAAAAACTCACCTCTCAGATCTCCAACAACACATCTGACTCTAAACAGGAACCAGCTAGATTTGTACATTTTTGGGGTCTCCGCTACATTTCTGCTGTGGCCTGTGCTCTTTGTAGTGTTTTTTTTAACTTGCAACGCGTTTGAGCTCTCTCGGCCACCATATGAACTTCTGAAAAACTACTGATTAATATCTAATATTTTAATAGTGAGAGTTTCTGTGGAGGTGAATGCATATTTGTTGCACTTGAGGAAAGCTTGCTCCCACGAAGCCCATGTAGGGCAAGTGATGTCATTGGCAAGGCCCTTTTCAATTTGGATTTGTGCCATTGGAGAAAACCGAGCCACCAAAAATCTTGGGGAGCAACATCTGTTCTTTGTGAGGCGAGGCCATTGCGTCAGCTAGCGGTTCTACCAGATGCGAACAGCAATGGTTGGACTTGGAAAAGGGCCCACTGATTCAAAAGGGTCTATGAGGATGGTGCCTCGGTGTCTGCCATTCTGTAAAATATTAAAATCTCTCAAGCTTATCTCAATGTTCCTGCAACAGCTCCATGCAATGGAGAAATATTTCGGAAGTCGAACCAAACCCACATTGTTGGTGCATCATTTGCAGTGTTGTAGTGTGTTATAATAAAGAATAAACACAAACCTGTGGTTCAGGGCTGGAGATTCTGTGACTGTGTTAAAGGTTGGAAAGTCCCTGTACGTGCACCATGAAATCTTGTTACCCACCGGCCTCCCACTTCTTGTCTTTTCTACTTCCTTACCATTGTTTTCAACCTCTGCTCACTTTTTCACATCCATCTTTGAAACTTTTGAAGTTATTATTTTTTTAACCTAATTTGTTAGTTTTTCCAAAACATGGCTGATTTTAAAGACTTCAGCTACACCAATGTGCTGCATTCTAATTATAAATGAATGGAGTGCAATAATCAAAGTTAAAAAATAACTTTTAATAATAAGATAGACCTGTTGGGAGCTCCAACGTTGCTCATATATATTCTTTTGTTGAAGTAATTCAACAGATGTTTAAAGGGATAGTACACCCAAGAAAAAAAATTATTTTTATTTACTCATACTCATTTACTCATCCTCCACTTGTTCAAAACCTGTTGAGTTTACTTCTTATTCTTAACACAAAGAAAGAAACACTTGGAAAAAAAAAAACTGCCTTTCAGTTTTATACTATTTTTTGTTCCTACTATGGATCAGGGGTGGGTTTTCCAAACAACAACTTATTTGAATTATCATAGCTGTGGCTGAACTATCATAGTACGATGCATCGTTTGGGAAATGAATGATGTAGTGACGATTGTTTATCAAAACCCATAGTTTCTCTGTCGCAGATCCATCGCTTGAACCACGTTAGTGATAACGGAAAATGCCCATAATGATGCTCTAAACTGGGTGGAGTATCAACTTCCTTAGAGAAGAACCTAGCTGTAACGTTTCGGTCTTCTAACCTTTATCAAACATATACACTCATTGAATGTAACAGCGGCGACACGGTGGCTCAGTAGGTAGTGCTGTCGCCTTAGAGCAAGAAGGTTGCTGGTTCGAGCTTTGCCTGGGTCAGTTGGCATTTCTGAGCTTGCATGTTCTCCCGTGCTTGTGTGGGTTTCCTCCGGGTGCTCCGGTTTCCCCCACAAGTCCAAAGACATGCGGCACAGGTGAATTGGGTAGGCTAAATTGTCTGAAGTGTATATAAATAAGTGTATGGGGGTTTCCCAGAGAGGGGTTGCAGCTGGAAGGGCGTCTGCTGCGTAAAACATATGCTGGATAAATTGGTGGTTTATTCCGCTTTGACAACCCCAGATTAATAAAGGGACTAAGCCGAAAAGAAAATGAATGAATGAAAATAACAACATAATTAAGAAAACAATAACTAATGTATGCAACTGATGCAGACCAACCACACTGAAAAAGATGATTCATTGGATTTTCTTAAGGTAATATATTTAAATGGGCTGAATTTAAACAAACAAATTAAATGTACTATGTTCAACTTTATTTGTTTGTTTAAATTTAGCCAATATAAATGGTTTGCAAAAAATTGTAAATCCAATGAATCATTTATTTCAGTGCACCGTGAGAAATAAAACAAGCTTTTTCCAGGTTAAAACACTCAGAATTCACACATAAACAGTATCAGCCTGTCACTACATCCTCTTTCTTTCTCTCTGCGACCCTCCACCTGTAGGAAGTCAGTACTGGTTGTTCAGGGAAGCCAACCTGGAGTCCGGTTACCCTCAAGAGCTGATGGACTATGGCAGAGACATCCCGTATGACAAAATAGATACAGCCATCTGGTGGGAGCCTTCTGGCTTCACTTACTTCTTCAAAGGAGACTGGTGAGGCGATTTTATGTACAACAAGAATTCTGCCTGTAATGTTTAATGTCTAGTTATTGACCTCAAGTTGTTTTGTTGTTGCTTGAGATATCTTACTGACCCCGTTTACAACAGACCTTAACTTCTGACACAAATGATAATTTCATGAAGCAATTTTATTCGACCCTCAAATATGTGAATTCTACTACTACTAATAATAGTTTCTTCTTGAAATATAATTGCATAAATATTTTAGAGATTAAGATTTCATTTATAAAGATTTAACTATGATATAGATACGTACATTCAAGGTAAGAAATAATATATTTTTTCTGCAGCATGTTGCAACATTAAAATCTTGATTATTTATTTTGGTTTTATTTATTTATTAAATTTTTTGTTTGTTTGTTTGTTTGTTTATTTATTTATTTTTTATTTATTTAAAAGTCTTACCTACTATAGCTGGTACTGTTTAGAACTATTAAATTGGCTTTACTTCAGTGTTTTGAATTGCTTTTGCATTTATGATATACAGTGCTCAACATAATTAAGTACACTACCTGACATATTCTTGTCCCCTATCCGTTTTTTAGGAACAACAAATAATAATGTGACTTCTAGTTGATCATTTGGTAACAGAAGTGGCTTATATGAAAGGCAAAGGCCTTTAGATTAGGCTTATTTTACCAAAATAAAATAGGATCATGCTTTGATTTATATTTATTTAAATAGGACATGGCAAAGAAAGCTTTCTTGCAGGACTCCCAAAGTTCATCAAGATTCTTTGGATTCATCTTCAATGCTTCCTCCTTCATCTTACCCCAGACATGCTCAATAAAATTCATGTCTGATGACTGGGCTGGCCAATCGCCCCAAAACTGAATGTAACCCCAAACCTTGATTTTTCCTTTACCAAACTTGACTGATTCTGTAGGAATCTTGGGTCCATGCTGGATCCAGTAGGTCTTCTGCAGTGTTTGTGATGATCGGGATGCAGTTCAACAGATGATTCACCAGAAAAATCTACCTTCTGCCACTTTTCCAAGTGATCGATTAGAAGTCAAGTTATTATTTGGTGCTCTTAAGACTGGAATGAACGATTTTTGTGAAATAATGTACACCCCATTTTGAAAATGAATATTTTTAGCAATTTCTTAGTGAATATAGGTAATATATTTTGGTGCCATTTAAACAGATTTTAAATGAATATATTTATTTAAATAATATTTTAGCCAACAAACATCTTTAAAAACATTAAGATAATGCATTTAAATTCATGTGAAATATTGGAAGAAAAAATGACAAACTACACAATTTCAACAGAATTAAAAAAAAAATAGTTTCTCTTGAGTTTGCCTCTTTTTATTTATTTTGATTGAAATTTTTATCCTCATATATCAATTTAAGTGTACTTATTTTGCACCGTTATCATACATTATTTTGTTAGTTTAGCTCCAGATTTGCATTCAGAATGACTAATCAACGCACAAATATAATATAGTAAAGGTTCCTATAGAAAATACTAATTTAAATGAGTGATTTGTGAGGGTTGTACTCATATATGCTGAGCACTGTAAAAGCAAAGTGATCACCCTGAAAGTGGTTTGAGTGATTTCAGTGTTAATATCATGCGTATATATAGGGATACTGTGCTGTTGCTGAAATGTCTGCATTGAGGAAAGTCAAAATGATTTGCAATGATTTTTGTTTGATAAACTACAGGTACTGGCGCTTTAATGAGCAGGACAGAGCCGCAGATCAGGACTACCCTAAACCAATTAGTGTGTGGGGCACTTCTGTGCCGTCGTCTCCCAAAGGGGCTTTTCTCAGCGATGATGGAGGTGAGTGAGTCCAACAGCCTGTCTCCTTAATGTACCATCAATCAAATACTAGAACAAAGGAAGTGAGAGAATGTATGAAATGTGATTTGAGGAAATAATGCGATATTATCAGGAATCACTTATATCACTAAAAGCCCTTTCTCATTAAAGGAATGTACCTGGTTTAAAATGGTTAAAAGGATCTATGACATGCTATCGATAACAGATACAGATAATAACTTAGATTTCAATCTAAAAATCTTCGTTCAAAGGGCTATTCACCCCTTCCCCTTAGCCCTACGCCTTCAAGCTAAAGAGAATTGGGACAACCTTACCCCTTGGCGTGCACGCGCAAAACGAAGGGTAGGGGTAAGGGGAAGGGCTGAGGGGTAGAATTGGGATTGGGCCTAAGTAATGCCTAAAGTAATGCCGTTGCCTAATTTTTCACTTTTTTGTCTCTGAAATAGCCTACACATACTTCTACAAGGGTGCAAAATACTGGAAATTTGACAATCACAGAATGACAAGCGAGCCGGGCTACCCAAAATCCATTCTTAGAGACTTCATGGGCTGTAATGTGGACCTCGATCCTGACAGAGACACTGATGTGGACCAGGGACGCAAGTGGCCCGATCGGCCACCCTTCAATCCAGACGCTGGCCGAGACAAAGACAAGGACAAAGACAAGGACAAAGAGAGAGACAACACCAATGACGCTGACTCTAAAGAAGAAACGGAGGAGAAAACCAATGAGGTGGATGTGGTTCTGAAGATAGATGAGACGGAGCGCACTATGAACATCATCATGGTGACGGTACCCCTGGTCCTGGTGCTGTGCATCTTGGGATTGATCTACGCTATCATTAACACGCTACAGAGGAAAGGAGCGCCCAAGTATTTAGTTTACTGCAGACGATCATTCCAGGACTGGGTTTAACCTCTGGGAATGACCTGGGATCCTGGTTCTGCCTTTTTAATTCAATCATCTAAAAACTTTGCACACACAAAATACATACACACATATACATATACTGATACACACTCACATGTTCATGTTCACCCTTCTTTTCCTTTCCCATGGTGCTCTCCTAACATCTTGACTAGTCTATTTATATTAGAAAGTTTGCACATTGATTTTGTTTTTATTTTACTTTTTTAATATATTTTTTTGAATTTTTCAATCAGTTGTTTGTGGGTTTATCTTCATTGCAGTCTTTAAGATGCCACAATCTTGATCTCCAATTATAACGTACAAGAATGGGAAGTCTTGTGTAACGGAGGCTAGCTAGCAAAGTGCTATGCAGGTAAACATCACTCCTCTGACCTCAAAAGCTGCTCTAGCAACAGACGCTAGAGGCCATGGTCTTATGCCTCCTTGTTAGAGCAACTGACGCCCATCCACGGCTTTGCCGTTTCGATCCCAGCTCACAGTGGGTTGAGTGCAATAGGACTGTTGGGTTACATGTGGGGGCTCGTCCGGGATGGAAGTGAGGTTTAGGGGGGTGAGTGTAACGGAAGGCAGCTAGAGAAGTGCTGTGCAAGTAAACCTCACTTCTCTTACCTCAAAAGTGCTCTAACGACAGGCACTAGAGGCCATGGTTTTTAGCCTCCTTGTTAGAGCAACGGACTCCCATACAAAGAATCGCCGGTGTGATCCCAGCTCAGACCAGGTTGGGTGCAGTAGGACCGGTGGGTTACACTTGGGGGCTCATCCGGGATGGTAGTGAGGTTTAGGGGACTGATTGTAACGGAGGCCAGCTAGCGAAGTGCTATGTCCGTAAACCTCACTCCTCTGACCTCTATAGGTGTTCTAGAGGCCATTGTCTTTAGCCTCCTTGTTAGAGCAACCCATACAAAGAATTGTCAGTTTGATCCCAGCTCAGAACGGGATGGGTGCAGTAGGACCGCTGGGTTACACTTGCAAAAAGTGAAAGTTGAGGATATTTTCTGCATCCGGTTACCTTTTCTCAGGACTTGTTTTCCAACTGACAGGGCAAGTCATAAGTCATCAGTGGCCAATTGCATCATAACTTGTTCATTATTTGTTGCTGTATATACTGTAGTGGGGTTTAAATGTCCACATAGAAAGTCTGGCATTTAAAATATTATTTAAACCTGAAATTAAACAGGATGTTTTAAGATATTTTTTAAAAAACTGGATTAATTGGTTAGGGTTTTTTAAGCAAAATATTTTATGTTCTTGCTGATTAAATTACTTTATTTACCATTTTAAGTCAAGTCACAAGCAACTGGACTTGGTTATTCAACCACTTGATTTAATTATACCTGCTATTTGTTTTGGTGTCATAAAATAGGGACTTTTGCCTTCAGTTTGCTTACCTTGTTTGATCATAACATTTTTTATTGGCCCTTGTTTTAACAACTGTGCCTTGGTCCTGCCAGGCAAATCTTTTTTATGGGTTCAGCCCATATTTGTAAAGCCCTCTTGATTACTTTTTTTGCAAGCTGGTGTGCTTTTTGTTTCAAAACTCTGCCGATTATATCTATATTTTTTATTGTTTGAGGTTACTTTTATTTAGGGGGTTTGAAAAACTTGAACAATTTGCTGAGTGGACATTTATATTACAGTTCAATCAAATCAAAATATGAAAAAATAGAACTATAAAATGCATACCACTTGCGTACACCAATTGTAAACGCAGTAAAATACACTTATGAGAACATCTTGGGGCCCAATTATAAATAAAACCCTTAGTAGAGGTCCGCTGATTTAGTGAATGCTATAAAGCTAATTTTAAAAACAGTGGGGGGTGAAACCATTCCCTTACTTCCTTCTACCCCAACCCAAACCTCTCCCTACCAAAGATATACCACTGTCATCGACTGAGTTGGCTCTGGGACAAGAGGGAAAGAAGTAGGGACAACTGTGAGTTCAAAAGGAAAGGGTTAAGATGTAGAAACATTATATCTTAAGTCCTGGCAAAAGCGCTTATGATGTTAGTACAAGTGTGAAGAGGATTGTATTACAGGGATCATGGTATTTTAGGGGCGGGGGTGTATAAAACAGACAGGATTGAGATAGACCAATTGCAAAATTCTTTTGAAAGGCTGAACGTACTCATACGCAAGTATGTGAATGATTTAGTTCCCCCCTTTAGTTACCTGCATTGCATTCACAAGCTTGCCACAAGTGGCGCTATTGAGTATAATTGCGTGAATATATAAATTCACTCACAAACAGGCTTGAAATTCAGTTATTAACAGGCAGCTACCCCACATAAAAATCTGATACATGGAAATATATGCAAATTACATATATATTATACAAGTTCATATTTGGATTTCACATTTATAAAGGATATATCGTATATGCAACATTGGTTGCAAAAATAGTTGATTTTTTTGTTTTTTTTAGCCATTGGAGTTATGTATTCAACTACATGTACGATGTATGTACAAAATATGAACATTTCATATATTTTTGAACATACAAAATATGTTCAATTAGATATAATCATGTATTCAGTTTAAGTTTATATATGTGTGTATGGCCATATATGAACATATATAATATTATGGCTAATATTTTTTAACATATAATTTGAAAAAAAATATGAAAGCAGCCATCTTGCAGTAGAGTGATCCCTCACTATAACGTGGTTCACTTTTCGCAGCTTCGCAGACTTTTTTTGTGTAATTTGACGTGCTTTTTTTTTACAGCGCAGTGTGTTCTGTGCCCTGATTAGCGCATTGTGTTCTACATCCTGATTGGCTGTAGACCATTGTCAATCAATCTTCTCCGTGCCGTGTCTCCTGTACAGTACTGAATGTGTGCAGCTTGCCAAATTTACACAAATGTTCGATCACTAGCAGTGTGACTCTGAAGCTCTGTACTGTATGTTTTCAAGTTTTCTCCCCACAATGTCGACGAAATGTTCTGCACCGTCAAAGGCACTTGCGGTAGCAGCCAAAAGGAAGATGCTAACCATCACACAAAAAGTTCTAGACATGCTAAAGGAAGGTAGAAGTTACGCGGCTGTAGGCTGCCATTACTGAATAAATAAATGAAGATCAAATGGTTTTGATCTTTGGTTTCATTTTATAATACTGGACTTATTTTTCTATGATGTTTGAACTTTGAGAGTGTTTAAACGAGAGAAAAGTATGAAAATGCTAATGCCTGTCTGAGAAAAGTGTATAAAGTGCGTAGCGAGGGGTTTTACAGCCTTAAAACATCTATAATACTTGTAAAAATTGCAGGGATGTTTTTAGGACATATCTCCCGTGAATAACGAGGGGCCACTGTATTACAAAATATTTTGGAAATCTAAATATAAACTTGTAGCCTATGTCATGTATGTAATTTGCACACATTGCCATATATCAGATTTCTGTGTTGTACAATTTGAAGACAGTCTTGCTAAGCAAGTTTTGGTTAAACTGTTCATTGCTAGCTACCAGAAAACATTTAATGATACTTGACATTCAAACTTCATGACCTCATCTTACGTTTGAGGAAGGTTTGAGGAAGATTGCATGTTAAATCTATCAGACAGGAATATGCATTTTGTTGTAGCATTCACATTTGTGTTAGCATACTTGCGTAGAGTGTATTTTTAGCTTTAGCTTGAACCGCTTGGTAGATAGCATGCTAAGCAGTAGTATCCCTAAATGAGAGCTTGCTGGCACACAGTCCCGTGGCCCACATTACCAGGATCCACTGCCAGTTATTTTTGGAGTGCATTCCTCGACCAGCAGTGGAAACAGGGTCCTTGTTTCATTCACGACTTTTTCACGCTAATGTGGTCTAGTAGGCAAAGCAAGTTTCCTAACATTGTAAGCTATAATGCTGTCTGGTTGGTTTGTGTTTGCTTGGTCTGGTGTCTAACCTAGGTAAAGACAGTAAAGACATAGAAGGCATTAATAATAATAATACTGACCCCACTTTTTAAAGTGCCCAGTCATAGACCCTTTACAATCAGTGACAGAGTTTCTCTTTTCTTAGTGCTAGAGGTAGAGTGAGGCGAGAACGAAAGTGAGTGGTATTATAAATATTGTCCTGTCAGACAACGTAGAGCAGAAAGCACTTTGATAAATATTATTGGAAGAGTAGAGGAGAAACAGGACAGTCATGATCGGAATGCTGTCACTGATGAATCCCACCAAATGCCGTTGCCAGGCGATCCCCCCCTCCTCACAGTGCTCCTGTCGTCCGGGGAGATTTGGAGGAGAGTTAATCAGACATAAAAGCTCTGCTGTCCCTCCCCCGACGCCCTCTACCTTCTCCTCCACTTGCCCAGATCAATGAGGAATACATAAACAGGCTTGAAAGATTTCTGAAATGCTCACTCTCAGGGGCTCACTTACTGTTGGCCTTATTCCTGTCTTATACCCACTGTAGCCCCGTGTGTCTGATTCGTACACTCCTTTTTCCATAATTTATTAAGTTCTATGGTATTAGCATGATATTTTGGACATGCTGTAGTACAATTATAATACATTTTTAGTAACACTTTAATTGAATCGGGTGTTCATGATCTCATGGCAATCATGTTTATGACAGTTTTATAACAAGTTCTGTTGTCATGACAAAGACAAACACAGTTAATGATGTATGGGATTATGTTAAGATGTCATAACAAAGACATCTCAAACAATATCACTTTTGCAAAATGACACAACTGAGTAAATGACACTTAATGACAGTTGTCATAAGCAAGCATAAAAATCTCATTCATATTCAAGACGTGTCATATCATGATTACAAAGGTTGCCTTATGGTCTTATAAACACCCCTTCAAGTAAAATGTTATCCAATTTTAGACACAGCTATGATGCTTATGTGTTGAAATTCTTTGAAGTACATTAACCACAAAATAATCTACATCAATCGGATAGCTATTTAACGTGGCATTCAGTGCAGGGTCATGGTTCCTTGAGGCCCATGGGCCAACATCTTTGAAGTCCCATCCCTTCATGTTTGATCGAATGACTTTAGCTGACCGACAACAGTAGCCAAGGCCTTTAGTTATCTCATGATGTCAGTTTGCTTTGAGGAACTTTGGTCACTAGTTGATAACTCTGTATATCTCCCACTATGTGCACAAGTCCCTATTGGCCATGTCCTACTACATGATCTGAGGGGTACAGGGCCATAGTGGTCATGTCGCTGAATTTAACAAGCAGGCTGGCACCTTGTAGTAATATCTCACACCAAATG